ACCTAGAGGGTCACATGTGGCCTCAAGGCTACAGGTTCCCCACCCCTGGAATAGGTACTTGGTAGAAAATTACACTTGGAGCCAGGAGACAGACTAAGTTGAAATCTCAACTCCAGCCCTTCTTAGCTGCGGGATGGATCAGAGACAAGCCACTTAATTCTCCCAAGTCTCATTTTCATCTCATGTAAAAGGAGGATAATAATATCTGTACTTACTACACCTCACAAAGTTCTGGTGGGAAAACTAACTTGTAAACTTTAAATCACTGTATAAATATAGGTTAATGTTATTATCATTGTTGTTATTAAATATTAAGTAGTGAAAATATAACCTCACAGTACCCAGAAACAGAGCAGAAGCACCAGCAGCACTGCCACAACCTTTCCAGGGACCCCTTAGCTCCACCATTTTAATTTATTCAGCAAATACAGCCTAAATGCATCCTACATATAGAATGCTATGCTAGCTTCTAGGAGAGATATAAAATCTGCCTGAGACACATAGCACCCGTCCTCATGGGCATATCCCTTACTGATAAGCACACATAGACAACTATACTACACCACACTACCTGGTAAACTCATCAGAAAGTTATAAAATGTTATCATGGGGTCCAAAAGAGGCGTACTGACAAAGGAATTTAAAGAGGATTCGTGGAGAAGGTGATATTTCAGTTTTCCTTTATAGAGATAAGAATTCAACAGATAGACAGCACTCTGAGCTTTCCTCAAGTTCCTCCAGCTGACCAAAGCTCCCCCATCACTGGTATAACTCAACTGTGCCTGACATAGGTCCTATCCTCATCATACCCCAAACTCCAACAAACTGAACTAGCTTACGACCTCTAGGTTTTTCTATACGGTGACACAGCTAAGCGTCTGCTGGCTCCCCTAGAAAGCTGCTCCAGCACTATCAAATGCTATGAACCGGTACACATTCAAATAACAGGGTTTTCCTTATATAAGCCTCCTACTGCTCTCTCAGCTCAAACACTACAGGGTCAGGAGACCTCTCAGGGAATCCCCTCTGCAGTCTCATGGACCACAGGACAACTGCTTTACCCCTCAACTTCCAGCAACAGAATGAACTAGTTGATTCCCTGAGGTGTAGAATCACTGAGCAAACAGTGCCCCCTAGTGTCATCTATAAAAAAAAACACAGAAACTTTGAACAGAAAAGGAGCATTACAGATCTGGTACAGGATTGGAAATAACTGAAACTACAACCTTCCTTGGGTCACAAACCAAATCATAGCTGACATTAGGTATGTTCGGTTTCTTCTCCCCTAACATTTCCAAAAGGAGGCAGTGTAGAGTAGTGGATAGAGTGACCCTCAGAGTCAGGAAAATGTCTTTTCCAGCCTCACCTCTGACATATACTATGTGACCTGGACAGGTCACAGCCTCTCAGTGCTTTACACAACTCTCTTAAGCCTCTAAATTATAAAGAAGGTGCTGTTTTGCAGTGGTACGAGAAGCTTCCTCACTGGAAGTTCCCAGCACTAACGAAAGAACAAGACCGGTCCAAAGAAAATTCCAAACCCTTACAGCAAGCCTTGTAGGAGAATGAGTGTGAAGAAAAGACCATATTCTTTTGTTTGTTTGTTTGTTTTTAAATGATCATGCTGTTACTGCAATGAGAATTGTAAGGTATTTACCAGACCAAGAACACTTGGAGGAAATTGCTTAACAGGGAAGTAAGTAATCTTTAAGAAGCTGAGGAAAGCATTTCAATGCAACTCAGAGGAGACCTCGGGGCTCCTACATTTTGCTAAAGATCCTGTCTACCGAAAATACGTTGGGAGATGTGGACAAGAGTAGCACGGGATGAGCAGACATGGGTGGGTTGCTGCATTAATAGAAAGAATACTAACATTGATGAAACTAAAGATTCAGCAAAGAATATGATCCCATTATCTAACGCAGCATCTTACACACAGAAAGTGCTTAGGATAAATGCTGAGTGAAGGAGATCTCTATCCAATTGATAATTAATTATAAATATTCGTATGTATTTTTATAGAAAGAGGCCATAAAGAGCAATATTTAGAGAAATGCAAGAACATGCGTACAAGTTAAAATATTTTCCTGATAATTTAACTGCTGCTATTCAATACTTTAAAAAAAGGATAATCACAAAGAAAAGTAATGCCCCAAAAGGATGACTAAGAGAACATCAAGAATTGCACACGCGCACACACACACACACACACAAAGAGTTGCTAACCAAAATACCTAACTGTTATAAAAATCTTTATGAGAATGAGCTGCATATATATTTGGGAGTATTCACAATGAAAACATGAGAAGAGAATACGCAAGTTTGCCCAAACAACATTCCCCCTCATCTCCGCTCTTACAGCCACACCGCCACCTGAAAGGGGAGAACAGAGAACCCCGCTGTGCTTCCTGCTCTTTAACTACTGTCTGACAACGTTGGATGTCGAGAAGGCTCTCCTCCAGTAAGGTGCCTCCTTTGCTTATCGAAGATTATGCAAGGTTCTTTGAAAGACTCAATAGGATTAGCACTGTGATTACTGTGCAGTATCAAGTAAGGCATAAAACAGAAACATACACTGGCCGAAATGTTCTGCACTTTTAACAATGGATGTCCAGCACAAAGAACAAATAGAAGAGCAGTGGTGATGCAGAGGTGGTGAGACCCTCCGTGTAATCATGTTTGCTGATGACACAGGGCTGACTTTACAAGGCCTTTTCAGTGAAATCCATATTATTCAAAAGAAATAGATTGGTAATCCATGCAAGAAAAACTCAATGTCCTAAAAATGCTTATTACTCAGATGATGGCATGCCGTCGGATGGCCGACCGATACGCTGAATTTTGGTCGTACAGTCGTTTCAGTTGTGTCCATCTCTTCGTGACCCATTTGGGGTTTTCTTGGCAAAGACAATGGAGTGTTTGCCATTTCTTTCTCCAGCTCATTTGACAGATGAGGAAACTAAGGCAGACAGGGTCAAGCAATTTGAACTCATGAAGATGAGTCTTCCTGACTCCAGGCCCTGCACTCTATGCACTGCACCACCTAGCGGCCCACCATTGAATTGCATCAGTATATGTATTTGAATCCAGAGTTGCAAATACATATGCATATATATATATGATATTACATATCACCTATATGTACATATATGATATTACATATCACCTATATGTACATATAGTATATTTCTAATGATTACCTTCTCTCAAGACAAAATAGAAGGGATAGCACTGAGGAGATGTAAGACTGGAAAAGCCAGTGATGTGACACAAACAAGTGATAAAAAATGGACAGCTCAAGTTCTCTGAAGAAAGGAAGGGAGAAAGCTCCTACTATGTGCCAAGCACTGTAATATGAGCTTCATAATTATTATCTCATTTGATCTTCAAAACAAACCTGGGAGGTAGGTGCAGCTAATATTCCCATTTTACAACTGAGGAAACTGAGGAAGACAGAGGTTTAAGTGACTTGCCCGGGGTCACACAGCTAGCAAGTGTCTGAAACCGGATTTGAGCTCAGGTCTCCCTGACCCCAGATCTCGCTCCACTGTACCACCAGCTGCCTCTAATGGTATCCTCAAAATGTAACAAGACTTAGAGGAAGGCCTCCAGCACGCTGGGCAGCCACTTTGTGGAAAATTAGTGAAATAACACTAACAAGAATGACGTGGAATGAAAGTTCACAGATGGCAATGTGCACCAGTGAAAGGGCTGAGCACATCAGTGAAGTCACAACTTCACTGAAGGATAAGAAGGTGTTTCAGGGGGCACAGCGTGGGGCTTAAGATCTAGCCTCACACATTTATGAGCTGGGTGACCCCTCCTACAAGCATCCCTACCACTCAGCCTCAGTTTCCCCATCTATAGAATAATGATATCTACCTCTCAAGGTTGTTGTGAGAAGGATCAAATGAGCCAGCATATAAAAAGTGCAAAAATACAAGCTATCAACCTAACTCAAGTTCCCTTTGTGGGGGAAAGATTTGCTGGCCCAGAATCAAGTCTCTCATATACCAGGCTGCCAACCCAAAAGTTGCAATTGTGAACCTCTTACAACTCATGATTAAAAAGAAATAACTTACTCTTTTGATCACATTTGTGAGTTTCTCAGGATTTCGGGCATCCTACATGTCCATATTATTACCTTTTCAAAACTGATGTGATCATTAACAGAAAGAGAAATCCTGAACCACAGAAAAATATGACCAACCTGACCTGCCTCCAAAGTTTTTCACAATTCACCAAGAGTGGGCGCCTGCTGAAGAGCTACAGATGGCCAGACAGCTGACCAAGTGATAAGCTTCTCCTAAAGTCAACTCTATGAATCTAGTGGAAATATTTCTGCACAAACTAGACTACTGAAACCAGTACATATAAGTGCTTTTGATACATTTTTAGGATCTCCCTTCATTTTGAGAAATTCCATTTTGCCCCAAAAGTGGGAAGCTTAGCAACACCCACATGAGACAAAAATAAGATTCTCATCTTTGATTTACATCTTGCTGTAAAGTTGAATCTTATATATGTAGTTCATAAGAGTATTTATGAGAATAGTTTTATCCATTTGTATTTATGTATTCTTGCATAAAATTGGATTTGGGGGAGCAAACTATAATAATTTGTAAGCTAAATTATCTTCTACAATAAAGTGACGCTGTTAAAGTTTAAAAAAAAATCAAAGGGCAGCTAGGTAGCACAGTGGACAGAGCTCCGGTCTTGCAGTCAAGAGGACCTGAGTTCAAATCTGGCCTCAGACACTTGATACTCACTAGCTGTGTGACCCTGGGCAAGTCACCTAACCCCAACTGCCTCACCAAAAAGCGAAAAAAAAAAAAAAAATCAAGTGTGCCTTTCACCTATACAGAATGTTTCTAAGGAAAAACAGTTTTAGAGAGGTACAGGTACAATGTTCCTGATTTTTTTTTCACTATAAAAAATCCCTTCCTCCAGCAAGAGAAGAATTCCATCAAATAAAGGTCTAGTTTCCATTCTGCACTCACCAGAAAAGGGCTAGCCAAGGTACATTGGAAGTTCCAGTGAAAGGGTAGACCAGAGAGCTCACTCCGCACACGCAGTGACATTCGCTCTGCCATACGCTCACAAGAGAAAGTGGCCCCTCTGGGATCAGGCGGATCTTCCAATAAGGTGCACATGAGGTCTCTCAAGTGGGAGAGGAAGGCAGAAGGAGTCGCAGTCAGTCGTTTATTCAGTTCCTGTAAAAATACCAGAAGAGATACAGAGATTGTGAAATGTTCTTCAAGAGAACAGAGCGGCCTAACCAATGCTCCAAATCTAATAAGGCAGTCACTCTTATTCTTATGTTGTGACTGGCCTTATGTGAAGGCAGTGTGAGGGGGTCGTTTTTTATGGCTCTTCACCGATTAATTTCACCACCCACCTATTTCTCAGCCCCTTTCACTCCAGCTTCTGACCCCACCACCAGGGAATCAGCCTGCACTAACTGAAATTGCTCTCTTAAAAGCTATTAGAATCCAAAATCTTCAGTGCCTCTGCATAATGGTCTCTAGGATAAAATACAAACTGACTTTTAAGACCCTCCACGATTGCTGAATAGGTTCCAACCTTAACTTTTGACTTTATTTCACATTAAAATCCCTTCATACACTTCATGTTCCAGCCAAAGTGGACTACCATAGCTATTTCCAGAACCTCCCCAAGAGGCAGAATGTTCTCCTCTTTCATCCTTTAAGATTTACATCAGGTGCTAACTCCTCCAGAAAGATGCCCTTCATCTTCCCAGTTGTTACACTACTCTTTCTCCTCAAATTCTACTGGAGGATGGGGAGATAAAAGATGAACAATGAAATGTCATGTTCTATCTTCCCAGAGGAATATAAGTTCATTGAGAATAAATGGTTTTGCTTCTTCTTTTTACCCCTCGCTGGTAATACAGTGCCTTGCATACAATGGTACTTAATAAATGTTTATTGAATTAAAAAGACCATTATTGACTGAAGAGAACAGAGAAGATGTCATGAGGAGATGGCATTTCAGCTGCACATTAAGGGATGGGTAGGCAATTTTGCAAATAGAAGAAGGAAAGGGATGACATTTCTGGCATGAGGAACACTGTAAGCAAATCTGAGGAGGCAGAAAAGTTCAGGGCGATCACAGAATCATGGATTTGGAGACAGAAAGGACCTTATAGGCCACATAATTCAAATTTGCATTTTAAAGAAGAGGAAACTGAAGCCCAAAATGTGACTTGCCCAAGGTCACACGTACGGCAGAAGGCAAAGGTGGGATTCAAACCTTGGTCCTAAAGCCCAATTTGTCAGGCATATAGCATATGGGAAGGTAAGCAGCATGAGACATGACTGCAAAGGTAAGGTGGCACTAGAATGTATAAAGCCTTTAAAGCCAAGCAAAAGAATTTTAACACTAAATTATTACAAAAAATATAGAATCATAGAATTTCAGTGACAGAAGAAACTTTAGCATTCAGGTGGTCCAATCCTCCCATTTCTAGATGAGGAAACTGAGGCCCAAAGAGGTTAAATAATTTGTCCAAAGTAACAAAGGTAGTTACCAGGACAGCGGGGACCAAACCCCAAATGTCTTGGTTTCCAGTGCAGGATTCTACTATGTTCCACTAACTCTTCAATTCTCCTTAGCAATCCAAAAGCAAATGAACCAATTTGTAGATATGCCCATCTAGGCTTTACTAGGTGGAAAACAAATTGTATTTTCCCATTCCTGTCACTCCCATTTACCTTGGCCCGTTGGCTGACCACACTTGTGTCGACTTGCTCATGCCACACATGTTGGAGGTCAGAAAGAAGAAGGGCATAGCCCTTGTGTGTGTTGATGTAGGCCTTGGCTAGAAGCGAGTCTTCCGAAAGTTGCAGCCATGCCCACGGCTGGATCAGCAGACCATGTTCCAGTTCTTCCATCTATAAGAGAATATCCATTCACTCAACCTTGCACTGGGAAAGGCAGTAATAACCAGGTATTTCTATCCCCAATAACATCCTATTCAAACCTCTTCCCCAATTAAAAAACAAAACAAAACAGTATCTATTTATTCCCCACACAGCTATCACTTACATTAAACAGATTTAAGAATAAAAAAAAGTTCAAAACTCCCATTTCAACATAGAATAGCTCCATTAAACCAGTACAGACCTAACTGGATGTACAACACTAGTGAGAGGTACTGAGTCAGACCCATCTCATCAAGGAGAACTTCCTCCCTTGCTCCCCCAAGTAGAACACAAGTTCCTTGAGAGCAGGGACCGTTTCATTTTTGGTTTTGAACTCCTGGCACTTAGCACAGAGCCTGGCTTAAGTTTGTGGAACTGGACTGATCATTCTTGATTTCCTAGAGAACATAAACCATACTGTCCATTCTTCTCACAGCCACATGTAACATCCAGTGCAATACTACACCCAACTGGTGCACCATAAATACTGCTGCCTGACTCAAAATCAGCCTGAATCTTACAGCACTAAGTGAACGTGAGGAATTATCACTATCATTCCTCGCTGCTATTACTTGGTACAGAATGGGCTTTAGCCCATTTAGCATAAGACTCTTAGGGGAATCACTGGCGGTGCAACAACAATCACTGGCAAGATGAAGACATCCTTATTGCCCTCTGCATCGTGCTTTTTATTTGCAAAGGCTATGTGCTTTTCATAAACGTGTTATTTTTATACAAGCCTATACCCACGAGAAGAGAGCGACAATTCACTTTTATTTCTGCTTTCCCGAGTCAGAACGGTGACCAAAGCTTAAGAAGTTAACATTGTTGGAGCCTCGGGCCCCTGGTGAAGGAATGAAGCCTTATTTAAGTGGAGGTGGGTATTGGGGGCGGGGGGATAAGAAGATGCTGTTTAGGTCTCATTGGCACCGAGCCGCTGGGTAAGTGCTCCTCTCGGAGCCTCAGTTTCTTCACCCGCACAAGGAGATTGGGCTTGGGCTCTCTTACACATTGAGAATGGAAGCTTTGGGGACCTAGAGGGCTGACACGGACCCCTGGGAGGAGACGGGTGACGGGGCCCGGGGGATCACGCGGCGTCATCCTCCATCCTCCGTCCCCAGCCTCGGCCTACTAAGAGCCTAGGGAGGATGCTCCATGGTGGCCTAGTCCGACCCCGTCGTGTCACAGTAGGGAAGGAACGGACGAGGCCCCCTCTGCATCTCGGCGGCGGCTGGGCGCAGCCCGGACTGCCCGCGCACCCTAAAAGCTCCACCCCTTGGGCCACCGCCAGGGGGCAGCCCGGCCCAGCGACGCGGCCTAGGCGGCTCTCTCCCTGAAGGACCTCGGGACCGCGCGGCCTCTTGGGGGCGCTGCCGCCCCGCTCCTCTAGCACGAGCTGGACGCAAGCGCAGCCCGGCGTGCCAGTCACCTCACCCCCCCAGGCCCGCCCAGGCTCCCAGAAAGGTTGAGGCCGCTTGGCGCATGCGCGCGCCGCCTTGACCCCGCCCCACCCCCACCCGGCACCTCCCGGATAGCGCTCCTTCTCACTTTTTCCCAGGACGAAAGCGTCGACCCCATCCACTCTTTCCCCTGCCACATGTAACTCTTAACCCCACGCCACGCGCCCCCAGCCCAAGCCCCTCAGCTTTTCTCGCTTCCCACTCCGGCCTTTCCTTTCCTACCGTGACGTCATAGCCGCCAGGCCTCCCCGCCGTGCGCGCGCACCCTTTCCCAAGGGGAGGAGGCGGGACCGGCCACCCGAGTGGGCGTGGCCTTAAGCGCTTCTCCCTGTAACCCCGCCCCCATCCTGGGGCCGCGGGAGCTTGAGATAAGATAAAGGGCGGTAAGGGGCTGCTTGGGCCGAATTGATGAGTCTCCAAACCAACTCCTGGGGTTTAGGTGAAATTTATACGTGATGGGGCGGGGCCGGGGAGACAGACAGCCTCTTCAGCCCCCTCCTTCGGGTCCGCTTGGGAGACGCTGGCAGGAGAAGCCAAGGAATGCGCAGCCCCGGCCGGGGGGAGGAGGGGCCGTCAGTCAGCCCTGGTCACGGCAGGGCCGAGGCGGGGGTCCTCGGCGCTGGGCAGCAGGCCAGCAGTTTCTCTTGGCTCTGAAGGCCCTCGCTCCTCATCCCCAGCGTGCTCGGCTGGGAAGCAGAGGCATCGCAGGGGCCGAGGGACAAGGGAGCACAGCTTCTGGAAGGGAGCCGGCAGCTCGTACCCCGAAGCATCCTTTCTGGGCTTCGCAGCGGCCTGAGCCTCCTTAGGGGATGGCAAGCCTCGCTCCAGCCGAGTGCCTGAAACGCCATTCGAGGAACAAAGATCAGTCGGGAGCGAGTCGCTTCTTCCCTGGAAAATCCTCCCACCCCCGCTGCCCTGCAGCCCCCATTTCTGCTCACCCGGGATGGTATTTTCCAGGAGGAAGCTCAAGAGGCCAGCCAGAAGCACGGGCTCCGCCAAAAAGGAACAAAGCAGCACGTCTCCTGGACTCAAACCTATGCAATGGGGGAAAGCTGGAATGATACTCCCACAGGGATCCGAGACCTGATCAGGAGCCTTGGAATCGCAAACTGTCAAAGATGGAAACCACCTTGGAAACCATGATGCCTCAGAGAAGGGCAAAGGTCTCCAAGTCAGAATGTGTACTCTTTGTACAGAATGTCCTACGCTCTGTACAAGCTTGAGTAACTCTATACCTCGCTGTTTCTCCACCTGTCAAATGGGAATGATACTTGCACTACCTACCTTCCTAAGGTGGCTGTGAAGAAAGTACTTTGTAAAAGGCAGTGTGGTATAAATAAGAGCTGTTCTCTAGTCCAGTCCCCTCATTTTACAGATGAGGAAACTGAATAGATGAACTGATTTGCCCAAGATCAGTTAGTACCAAAAAGTCCAACTTCCTGGAGCAAGCATCCTCCCCTTCCTTTCCTTCGGTTCACCAATTCCATTACCTCCTACCATCCAGCACTTGAATATCTCCTCAATACTTTCTGCTTCTGGGCTTCCGGGACCCCAAAATATCAAACACACTCCAGTTCACTGGATTCTGTTGGTTCCAAATGCCCCCAACTTCCTCTCCTATGAAAGACCTGGTTTGGTTTGGACTGATGCCTGGAGGAGAGACCTAAGGACTGGAGACTTAGGAGCCCTCCAGCCATCTCTACTTGAGAGCTTCTCCTCCTCCTCTTCCTCCTCCTCCTCCCCCTCTTCTTCCTCCTCCTCCCCTTCCTACTCATCCCACCTGTATTGAGAACAGCATCCTGAAGCCATCGGGGTAGCAGCAGTGCCATGAAGACAGCAAAACCAACAATGAAGACATTACGTCCCGAGTCGATATCCGTAAAGTAGTAGTAGGAAAAGCCAGTAGACAAGATGACTGCCTGGTTCACCCCCAGCACAGCACCTAGGTGGGGAATTCATTTCAACTTTGTGCCAGGGACTGGGGATACAGAGATGAAATAAAAAACGTTCTTCCCTCAAGGAGGTTACAATCTAACACTGGGGTACAAAGATGTATACAAATAACTGTAATAAAATGCAAAATGTAAAAAGTGGAAAGGAAAGGTCTAAAAGTATGATGAGAAAGCTCAGGGAAACTTCATTTCCAGCTGGTTTGTCAAGGAAGGCTTCATGGAAAAACTGATCACCTGAGGTTGGCCCTTAAGGAGAAAAATAATTTCAACAGTTGGAGGTGAAGAAGGGTTCATTCCAAGCACAGAGGACAGTTGTTGGAGCAAATAGTATCTCCATCAAATACATTTACATAGCATTCAAAGTTTACAAAGCACTTTCCTCACAACAGCCCTGTGAGGCGGCAGTGAAGAGATGATCCTCATTTTAAAGAGGAGGAAACTGACTAAATGAAACATTTCTGAACAAAGAAATGTTTTGTCCAGGAGGTCACACATTTAAGTGGTAGAGATAAAAATCAAATTCTCACTCAGATCCAACACTCTTTTTTTCAATGTACATAAAGGCGTGAGCTATCCCATGCCTTTCCAACTAGAATATGAGAGATCTGAAGAACAGCATGAGGGGAAGCTAGAGAGGAAAGCTTAGTCCAGATGGAGGAGGGCTATCCTTGAATACTAGAATAAAGAGATATTTGAGAGACCAAAATATCACTGTGACCAGAATGATGAATTAGGAAAACTACATGGGGAATCCTGTGAAAGATGAAGGGAGGTGGGGGTGGGGGGGAGAAGGAACAAAGGAAGAAAAACCAGTTACTAAATTTTTTGCAATCACCTCCCCAAAAGGTAATGAGGGCCTGAACCAGGGCAGTTTCAATGGGAATGAAAGGAGCAGCCTCAGAGGATGGTGCCATCAACAGAAATAGAGGTAGCATGAAAGGGGATGTCTAAGTTTTAAGGAGAAAATGATGAGCTAAATTTGAGACATGTTATGTTTGAACTGTGGGGGTTTTCTAGCTGTTCCTCACAAAATTCCATCTCCACACCTTTGGATTTCCTTCTCACCTCCAAGTGTTAGAATCCCTCCTTTCCTGCAAAGCTCAGCTCAAGGGCTACCTCCTCTATGAAGCCTTTGCTAAGTGCTAACTTAGCACTTAACTAAGTGCCTCCCCTACACAAAAACAAAAACAAAACCCCTCCTTTCTTTGTTTCTATTTTGCATATATTTACATATGCATATTTGTCTTTTTTGTTAGAAATTCTTTGAAGACAAGGATGTTTTCATCCACTATGCCCAGCACATACTAGAGCTATAATAAATGCTGGTTGATAGATACCCAAGAGGTTATATCCAGCAGGCAGCTATAAATATGAGGCTAGAGCTCAGGGCTGGAAACAATAGATTTAAGTCAACCACACAGAGGTAATAATTAAAGCTATGACAATGAATGAGCCTGCCAAAGGAAATAGTACGAAGGAGGAACAACCAAGAACAAAACACTCTTAAGGGGTGGAAGGAAGATGAAGAGTCAACAAGAGGGGCAGCTAGGTGGCGAAGTGGATAGAGCACCAGCCCTGCAGTGAAGAGGACCTGAGTTCAAATCCGGCCTCAGACACATGATACTCACTAGCTGTGTGACCCTGGGCAAGTCACTTAACCTCAACTGCCTTGCCAAAAACCAACCAAAAAAAAAATTTAAAAAAAAAGAGTCAAGAGATCCAGGAGGAACAGGTAGTAGGAAAACTGAGCATGCAGTGTCATAGAAGCCAAGGGAAGGGAATAAGCAAGGTGGGGGCTTCTCAGTAAGAAATGCTAAAAAGAGGCCCAACAGCAAGAGAACTGGGAGAAAAAGGCATTGGACTTCAGCAAGGATGTTGGGAAGGTGGTACACATCAAAGTTCTGTTGACAAGCTGTGTGCCACGTAAAGAGAAAGCTTGCTCAAGTCCCTGTACCAAGGGAGGCAAAATCTCAGGACAAGTAGGATGAAAATTAAATCCTATCCCCTTGTATTGCTGACTCAACTAGAAAACTTTGATGAGGAAAAGAAAAAGCTTTAAAAGGGGCCAAATAGACAAGGAAACTCACAGCAAGGATTTGTACTCACCATGAACTGGCAGCGGGATGGTGGTGAGGGCCTGTGCCAACCGTGGAGAGAGACCCAACCCTATACTCAGTAGGCTGACTAGCCTTGCCACTCTATGAGACCCAGCCTAAGTGGAGGACAGAGGTTCAGTTGCATAGCCAAAAGTGTTAGACCCACTTCCCTATATCCCCTGCCCTCCTCAGGAAACCTCTGTTCATCTTCCAGCTGCAAGGTCTATACCTGGGTGAGGCTGGTGGTGCCCACATTGGGGAAGCTGGAGGCAACACCCAAAGGGCTCCCCAACAGCCCAGCCAGCAGGCTGCCCAGGCCCTCAAAGCCCAGACCTCGATTGCAGGCATAGGAGGGGGGAGGACTCAGCTGCAGCAGCTGACCACACAATGCGTAACAGCACAAGGAGCTGGTAGAAGATGCCAGTGCCATTGTAGCGCCTGCAGCCAGGCCCCGGGGGGGTCAGCTTGGGCCAACTCCATCTACCTGGAAAGATGTTGGGGAGTCATTTGGCATCTCAGATGTTAACAGATAACAAATCTGAAATGCCTAACCTGGTCCCGTTTGCTCCCTGCCTAGAGTCTTGGGAATCTACTTGTTCCAACACAGCAAGTGAAGACTCTTGTTTCCAGAACTCTTTTATCCTCTACGACAAAACTATTTCTCCCACAAGCACAAAGTCTTAAACACTGACACTATAAGCTTGGGAGAAACTTAGGCCTTAAGCCATAAAAAGAATACATTAAACATTGACTTCAGAGAAGGAGAACTACTGCTTTCTGGGATTTCATCATCTCAGAAATTCATCATGCTACAAGATGAAATCAGCTCAGAAACTCATACCTTCTCAGATCATTTCCCACCCCAATTCATGACTGCATTATGAACCCTCCCTTAGCCTCTTTTTATGTGTTGTCCCCATTAGACTGTAAGCTCCTTGAAGGCAAGGGTTGATTTGTGCCTTTCTTTGTAGCCCCAGCACTTGGCACAGTGCCTGACACTTAATAAAAGCTGACTGACCCTAACTCTGAAAACATTCATGTCTATCTAGGTGACTGGATAGGGGACTAGACTAGAGGGGGAAAAAGTGGTCTGGGTGGTCAGACCTGGGTGAGGCAGCCACAGCCATGGGGAGATGTTAGGAGCAGACAGCTTCTGTGGGATGAAACTAAGGCCCAATAAAGCAGAGAGGATCCAAACACAGATCACAGGGAGGAGCACCTGTATGAGACAAGACTGAGATGGGATGGAATCCCCGACCCCAGCTCACACATAGCAGGAACAGACATAGGTGAAGTTGACAGGTAGGATGGCTGAGGACACACCTCTGAGGAATTCCAATCACTACTGGCCTCCACATACCGAGAAGAGGCGGAAGACAGGGACATAGGTGTGAGTTGGAGGGACAGCAGTTCGCAGTGGACACAAAGGCAGCAGGCAGGATCCCAGATGCTGAGAACATACAACTATAAGTAGGATAGGCCTAAAAGAGAGAGACTCTTTAACGTCATGGAAGAAGGGAAGCCATCACAATAAAGCACAGGGCATGGTATTGGAGAAAGGGTGATATGAGTTTGTGTACTATGAGATTTGGGTACCATGAGGGCATGCGGAAAATGAAAGAGGAGATAACACCATAGAGGATTTATAGGGAATCTGAGCAGTGTTGAAGGGGAATGGGGGGGCATAAGGGAAGGGAGAAGTAATGTTGTAGTGAGGCAATGAATGGAATCAATTGTGGGGGTTAAAATAATGGAAAGCTTGGGCAAAAAGTTTTAGATTCCAAATTCCTAGTGTTGCCCTCCCCCAGATCTTTACTCAATCAAGAAGCTTAGATTTGTCCACACTGTTGCTGAGACTCACGTACAGCAATGCAAGGCCCCAATTTGCAGAACAGAACAGTGCAACTTCCTTGTGAGCAGAAAGCCCTACCACAACCAGGCTGGGAGCAAGGACCAGGGGTCCGAAATGAAGAAACAATCGACCAGGCCCGCCCAACAACCCTAGTGTTCCCTGAAGCAGCCCAGACATCAGCACAGCACCTGACACCTGAATAGGGGTGGAAAAAAATAGAGTTAGGGAAAAAAGAGGAAAATAGAGGCTGTACCCTCAATCTTGAGAAGGCAACCTCAAGGGCAGGTCCCAGAAACTTTAGTACTTCCCTCCCCTGGCCCTTTCCTCCTAAGACAGTCTCAGAGCCAGGAACCTTCATAAAAAGAACAAGAAAAAAATCATCTCTGCCCCTCCCCTGACCCCACATATGCCACGTTTACCCTTCCCACCCCTCTAAGAGAGAACACCCACCTCTCTAAGAGACTCATCCCAGCTTCCCAGGGTAGAGCAGCCTGTTCCCACACAGGGACTCAGTGCATGGGAATCTGGGAAAGAATGGTGGAGGGAAGGAATATAAGGACTTGGAAATCTGTGTAAACGGAGACCAATTGTTGCTGCCTAAAGGTGCCAACTAATAGTACCTAACCCAACCTCTGGATTCTCTATTCTCTGTCGCCCCAACCCAACTCCCCTGTAACAAATATGGACATGTAACTCATCTTCAATTTTCCACCTTGCAGAGGTTTTTGGTGACATTTCCCCATGCCCTTGCCCAATGCTCACTGTTTCCAGGTGCCCATGTAGCTTGGTATGGTTTCTGGCTGGCCAACACGAGAGCAGGAATGAGAAACTCAAAGGATGGGGCCTGGACCAGAGGGAGCCTGTATGCACAGCAGACAGAAAAGGATAGAGTGTGCTGGCTTGAAAGGCTTACTGGGGGTTGGGGTAGGGTGAGGGGAATCTCCCTCCCTAAAGGCACTGTTCCCACCAAACAAGATCTCTTCAATTTCCCCTCCCTGTTGCCCCTTCACCTGCTGCCCATCCAGGTTTGTATGGCAGTAGACAAACCACAAGAGAAGAGACTGGAAGCCAGGAGCTGGCCAGGAGGATAGGAGAGTCCTCCTGGTGGAAGACTATGAAGCAGGAGCAGGTGGCAGACACAGAGCAAAGAGGCCTGGACCAGAATGTGCTGCAGAGGGGGATGGGAGTGGGGAAGGACTCTCAAATACCCTTCCCCCAAGAAATTATGCTCTCCACCTCCCAGATTCTACTTCCCAGACGTCCCCTTAAACACACAAATCTCCATTTATGCCTCCTCCTACCTGTACAGCCAAAAGCCAGCTGAGGCCCCAGGAAGGGTTTCCACAGAAGGAATCCCAGGACTGGGGTAAGGGGCTTTGAGGAGCCAGCTTCAAAGCCAGAGAGGGGAGTGGGCTAGACTGGTGAATAGGTTTGTTCATGCTGCCCCCGCCCCACACCTATCAGCCCTATCCTCGCTGGTCCACGGTTTCAGGCGTCCAGTGGAAGAGGTTAGAATCAGTTGCCTACTTTAGGGAGGGGCTGGAGTGGCAGTGAAGCAAAACGAAGGGATGAGGGAATGTTCAGCAGCACAGCGGAACATTCACCTTTGCCCAGCTCTGTAGCAAACTCCATCACCTATTAACTGGGGGACCTTGTTCTGCCAAGTCCCCTCCTACCCCCAGGCCCTGATGTCTTGGTCTTCTCCTCCCCAAAGCCCCAGCCCCCAAGAAGGAATAAAGTGTACATGGCACACCATGCACATCACTGATGCCAGAAGTTCCCACTCATTCCAGCTTTCCAAAATAGCCATTAATTACACTCCTAACCACTGTAAGGCATAGGTATAGGAAAAGCAAAACTAATTACCTCACTGTGTATCTCCATCAGTACCCTAGCTCCCTCACCTCTCTGTCAGGAGGTAAATAGCTTGTCGTATCAGGCATCATTTACCTGTGCAGGACACCATGCTGATTGGAGTTCTGAAGTCTTTCAAAGCTGTTTGTTTTTAATAACGTGACTGTACAAAACCTAGTTTTGAGTATTTTCACTCTGTGTAAGTTCACATTAATCTTCCCAGGTTTCTCTAAAATTACCTCCTTCATATTTCTCAAGGAACAACAGCATTCCATGGGGCAGCTAGGTGACTCAGTGGATAGCCTGCTGGGCCTAAAGTCAGGAAGACTCATCTTCCTGAGTTGAAATCTGGGTCAAGCTCATTCAGAATGAGTGATAAGCCTGTAACTAAGACAATAGTCAAAGGACGTGGTTATAATCTTCCAGGCCTCAACTGCACAAGAGAGAGATAGGGGACTGGGAATAGTGAATAAAAGAACAAGGGCCACTGGGATACAGGAATCATGGAACAACCTCGAAAGTGGGACCAAAATCTATGACAACAACTGGAGGCTTGGAAGAGATGCACAGAGAAAAGGTTTGAGAAATGAAGGGGCCAAGAGACATGTTAATTATAGGTCTGAAAGCCTTGGATGTGGTCAGGGGCTGGTGCAGGAAGCAGAGTCCAGGCCATGCAACTTAAACTGTTTATTGAAACCTCAAATTCTTCTATAAAAGCATGGAAAAAAACCAACCAAGTACAAACCAGGGGCCAGAGACCTGAGGACAGACCCAGGGGAGCAGTACCACCGGTAGAGTATATGGGTAGGGGGCACCGGAGAACAGAGGCTAAAGGCTAACAACCCTTAAGTTTTAACTCGAAAGGGGCTTTCTGCACCACCTCCCCTTGATGTTATTCCCAAGCACCCTCCAACTCCCTGGTCCTATCATCCCCTAGTACTCAAGCCCTAGGGACTTCACATAGACCAGCTTCAATCTGTCCCTCTACTCTCATCCTTGCCCCGCTCACCCTAAGAAACGAGCAAAAGTCACTGTCAACTCTAGAAAGCCTCAGAAAGGTGGGCGTGTCTTCCCCCTGGCCTTCTACATGTGACATCACACAGGTCACCAGGATGAAGCCTTCCCAAGTGACATCACGAAGCCAATTCTGTGGCACCTAGCCACGAAGTCATAGGCAAAGGCCACAAAGACAGACAACATACTCTTCACCCCGCTGCCACAACAACCCCATTTACCTCTTTCCCCTTAGAGGAAAGAGAACAAAGGATCCAGAAAGGAAGAGAGAATCTAAGTCACAAGTTTTTAAATTCCTCTTTTCCAATGGATAAAACTTTGTCCTGTAAGTCCCCCAGGGCAACCTAACTCCCCCTCAACACATTTCCAGAGTCTCCATCTATCCTGGAAAGATAAAGGATTTGAGGCGGGCCAGCTCCATAGCACCAAACAAGGAGCACTGCTGCGGCTGGGGGAGGACGGGAGCTCCAGGGCTCCAGGGCCAGGGTGGGGCTTGGCCAGGTGGGGGATACCAGGGACTGAGAGGCCTCATTGTGGTTGTATAGTTGGTACGCTGACAGGCATAGTGGTTTGGGGAGTCTATCTGGAGCTGCCGACAAAGGGGGCAGGGCTGAGAAGTTGGGGTGCCTGGAGGCAATGGAGAAGGACTCAATGTAGCCAGAAGACTCCCCCACAGTGAATGCAGTCCCATGTTCCCCACTAGATTTTGGGAGGTGTTAGCAGACAGGGGTAGGAACTGTGGAACTGAAGCTGAAGACAGAGAACAAGGCCCCGGTGGGCACTTGGGAGTAAGACAGCTAACATCAGGGGGCCCTGGTGGAGGGGTGCCATGCAGCCCCAAGGTCTGGTGCAGGACAGTCACAGAGGCCACGGCCACAGCTACACTGCTCACATAAGCCAAGGCTAGCAGGCAAGCCAGCTGTTGGAGAGAGAAAAACAAATGTCAGAGGCCAAAAACTCTTGCTTATATCTCCTGGTCTGTTCCCTTGTCAACACCTACCCATTTCTTCAAAAATAAAGAGTTCTACCCTCTCCTAAGGCTGTATCTCTCCAACCCAATCTCTGCTGAGCCCCCAAAGTCCTATCAATTTATTTTGATGGTTCTTCTAGCTCTTACTACACCTACCCTACCCCAAAATTCATTTAGTTCCACCCATGAGTCATCCCCTACTCACACCTCCTTCACTCCACTACCCTTCAACCCAACTTCCATTCCTCTGCTCACATTCACCTTGGCCAGACGCTGGCACAGTGAGCCCAAAGCCAATTGCCAAGTTCGTTGCTCCAACAGCACACACAAGTCTGTGTAGGTATACCAGCCACGGCGTCGACCCTGCTGCTCAGCGACACTAGTATAAGATGAAACGTGTCTTGAAAGGTCCAGGCAAGATGGAAATTTTGCCCCAACCAACACCTCCCACTGTGCTCAAGGCAACATTCTACACAGGTGTCCATGGGACCTATCAAATCTATAGCTCCTGCAGCTGCTTAAAACACAGTTTTAAAAATTAAGTCCAACATTTTTCAATAACCATTGAACAGTTAAAATAAATCTGCCACAAAAGCCCTTCCTTCTCTCATACCTGAGACAGGGAAAAAGACGTAAGAATCAGAAGGCACCAGAGACATGACATTCTACCTACAACCACCATGTGCTTCACTGAGTTCGTTTCACAATCCAGCCACCCCTCAGGGGCTTTTACTCCTACATACTTCACCCTCCTCCCTCTCCCCACATCAGTCCTTCCTCCTTGTTCCAGGACCTACCAGCCCTCCAGCCAACTCAGCACCTCAAAGATCTCCCTTGGATCAGTGTAGAGGCTCCAGTCCTAAAGTTTAAAAAGACAAAGGACTTATGAATCAGGACAGATGAAGAGAATAGAGCATGGGACAGAAACTTTTCTTAAAACTAATGCTCCTATTCACCAAAGGCTTTGGGCATTAAGAAGAATGATGACAGAGCTAATCCTTTTAGGAAAAATAAAGAACATGAGAGAAGGTAAACAAAAATAAACAGGGGAGAGAATCCTACAGAATCAACTAAAATACTAGTTGAGATAATTAACAATTTTAGCAAAGTTGCAGTACATAAAATAAACCCACATAGATCATGAGCATTTCTATACATCACCAACAAAGTCCAGCAGCAAAAAGTAGAAAGAGAAATTCCATTTAAAATAACTGTAGACAATATAAAATATGTGGGAGTCTACTTGCCAAGACGAACATAGGAATTACATGAATTACAAAATACTTTTCACACAAATAAAGTCAAATCTAAACAAGTGGAAAAATATTAATGAGCTCATGGGTAGGCTGAGTCAATATAATAAAAAGACAATTCCACCTAAATTAATCTGTTTATTCATTGCCATACCAATCAAACTACCGAAGAATTATTTCGTAGAGTTAGGAAAAATAATAACAAAATTCATCTGGAAGAACAAAAGCTCAAGAATACCAAAGGAATCAATGAAAAAAAAATGTGATGGAAGGGGGCCTTGCTGTAACAGAGCTCAAACTGTATTATAAAGTGATAATCATAAAAACAATCTGGTACTAGCTAAGAATAGAATGGTGGATCAACGGAATATAGTAGATACATAATATATTGTAGTAAATTACCACAGTAATTTAGTATTGGATAAACTCAAAGATCCAACTTTTTGGGATAAAAACTCATCTGACAAAAACTGCTGAGAAAGCTGGAAAACAATATGGCAGAAATTAGGTAAAGACCAACATCTTACACTGTATACCTAGATAAGGTCAAAATAGGTACATGATTTAGATATAAAATGTGATACCATAAGCAAAGTAGGAGTGAATGGAATAGTTTACCAGTCAGATATATGGAGAAGGGAAGAATTTAGGACCAAACAGAATATAGAGAACATTACAAAATGTAAAATGGATCATTTTCCCTGTATAAAATTTAAAAGTTTTTACACAAACAAAACTAATGCAACCAAAACTAGAAGGAAAGCCGAAATCTGGGAGAAAAAAACTTTTACAGCAAGTATCTCCAATAAAGACCTCATTTCTCAAATATATAGAACTAAGTCAAATTTATAAGAATACACTGACAGAATACAGTAAGAATCATTCCTCAATTGATCAATGGTCAAAAAACATTAGCAGTTTTCAGACAAAGAAATGAAAGCTATCTCCAGTCTTATGAAAAAATGTTCTAAATCACTATTGATTAGAGAAATGGAAATGAAAACAACTCTGAGGTACCACCTCACACCTATCAGATTGACTAATATGATAGAAAAGGAAAATGATAAACATTGGAGGGGATATGGGAAAACTGAGACAGTAATGCACTGTTGGTAGAATCGTGAAACCATTCTGGAAAGCAATCCCCAAAGAGCTATAAAACTGGGCATAATCTTTGATCCAGCAATACTACTACTTAGGCCTGTAACCCAAAGAGATTTAAAAAAAAAGGAAAAGCCCCAAATTATTTATAGCAGCTCTTTTTGTGGTGGCTAAAAATTGGAAATTGAGGAGATGCCCATCATTTGGGGAACAGCTGAACAAGTTGTGGTATATGACAGTAACGAGATATTATCATGCTATAAGAAATGATGAGCAAAATGATTTCAGAAAAACCTGTTAAGACTTACAAAAACTGATACAAAGTGATGTGAGCAGAACTAGGGGAACATAGTACACAATAATACAATTAACAACTGTAAATGATTTGGCTATTCTCAGCAATACAATAACCCAAGACAATTCCAAAGGACTCACTCATGATGTAAAATGCTATAATGTTGTCTGAAAACAGACCAAAGCATACTAATTTTTTTTTACTTTCTTTCCTTTTTGTTTTGAGTTTTCTTCCACAAAATGACTAATATGGAAATGTTTTACATGATTGTACTTGTATAACCTATATCAGATTGCTTACTGGAGTAAGGAGGGATAAAATTTGGAACACAATCAGTTAGGTGGTGCAGTGGATAGAGCTCTGGCCTTGGAGTCCAGAGGACCTGAGTTCAAATCTGGCCTCACACACTTAACACTTACTAGCTGTGTGACTCTGGGCAAGTCACCTAACCCTGATTGCCTCATCCCAAAAAAAAAAATTTTGGAACACAAAACTTTTTTTTTTAATGTTAAGAACTGATTTTACACGTAATTGGGGAAAATAAAATATCATTTTAAAAAATAAAATAAACAAAGGATGGTAAAACAAGAATGGACAGAGAACATAACAAAGTTTCCACTATAAAACTGCCTATAGTAGAAACTATAAGTAGTCGGGGTTGGAGTGGTTGAACTGCTCAAAATCTATCAGGGCACAAATGGAAATAAGCCAAGGAAAAAAACAGACTCTCACCATGGCACTCAGGAAGCTTCTCTCCAGTGCATTGAGGGTAGGTACAGCCACACCCCCTGCAGCCCCCCATTCATCATTGAAGACCTCCTCTTCTTCCCCTTCATCATACAGGTACTTACTGGCCACCATCTGCAAGAGCATCAGAAATACTGTCACTAGAGTACCCCATCAGACACCCTTATCCACAGAGATGACAAAAAAGACAGGGAGACGTGGGACAAAGGCTCAAGAAAGAAATAGTATTGAGGAAGCTGGGGGCTTACCATAGAGACGAGGAATAGGTCAGAAGATGACACATGTTGTAAATAGTCAGGATTTCTGTGCCGAAGTCGTTCAATGTAAACTAAGGCCAACATCATGGCACATGGAGAGATACATGCCTCCCTAGGGGTGAGGAAAGGAATAAGCTTTAGTCCTTAGGATTATAGCCACTTCTTCTGTTCACTTTTATCTATTCCAGCCTCCCTTTCTTCGCCTAAGACCTATCTACCACCCTCCTTAGAGCCTGTCTTATCCCTGCCATCTCCCACCCCACCAAACACACTGCATTTAATTCTGGACTCACCGGGATACATGAGATACATATTTCTTCTGGAGCCGGCGAATAGGACTGGGGGCTGCCTTCTGGAGCAACTCCACAGCAATGTCTATACAGAATAAAGACCAGAGTAAGGAAGCACTCCTCTCTACCAACTACTCTTTCATTTCATTCTCACACAGCAAAACATACAGGGACAAATTGCTAAATCTTTCAGTGGCCTTAAGGACAGAACCACAAAAAGATACTAGAAACCAAATCAAAAGAGAATCTTAACCCACAGTGAAATAAAGAACTCTCTCTTTCCCCTTACACTGCACACCACATCTTTCCTAGGTTTAAATTTTAGCTTTAAGTAGATGGGTAGTTTTCACTGCCCAATTGATAATGAGAAGAGATGAAGAATAAGAGTCAACCACACCCTTAAAAATTAAACCTCATCACACAGAAATCTGTGTATTGACAAGAAGGCCTATGTCATACATCATAACAAAGTGAAAATGGAGTTTTACTCATTTGACTTTAAAGATTAATCAACTCTTGTACTAGACATCAGGATATTCATCAAGATTACATTCTCAGAAGACAGCATGCACACAGGTAAGTATAATACTAAGAACACTAAGGAAAATAAATTCTTACATATGGCTGTCAAAACAGTGAAAATCAGCTCCTAAATTGAGGAGGGGAGGGGCAGAGGAAGGGGATCATTTTGCTGAAATTCAACTCTTCACAATCTAATTTCCACTAAAGTTTAAGGTCCCACTTAATAATGTATCACACAAAAACATATATCCAAAACTTGTACCACGTATAGACAAAATATCGTCATAGACGTCAGTCATTTGTTAAACATTTATTATTCTCTTACTATCCAATTGTCTCTCCTCCATCACTCACACACACAGTCTCACCTGCCACAGGACTGGATAGTTCTTCTAGGCCACAGTCTGGGTCCCAGCCATAGTAAAGTCGCTTTCTGACTCGCTCACTCAGTTTCTGATGTCCAGGGAGAAGCTGAAACAGGAAAAATGTGGAAAAAGAAAAATTACACTGGTCAAAAGACAATACATATCTCCATCTCCAGCCACCTTTGACTCTCAACAGTAATGACAAATGATGTTTATGAAGCATTTTAAGGAATGCAAAGGTTTGCTTATGTAGGTTATTTCATTTGACTCTCATAACCCTAGAGAACAGAAGCATTCCTATCCACATTAGATCAGATGAACAAGGTGAGGCTTAGAGAAGTCGTGATTGTTCAGGTTCACACAACTGGTAAGTTATCTACGGCAGGATCTGAACCCAGCTCATCCTCAGTAAAACCCAGTATCCATTAATCATGCTGTCTCTCCCTTAGAGAGGGACCATCTGCCCTGGCCTCCTGGGCTCTGGCATAGAGGGAACAAGATTCACTGACTTGGAACTAAAAGGGAAGTCCAAATCACAGTCCGGCCCTCTCGTTTTACTTTAGAGGTGTTAACTGAGGCACTGGGAGGTTAAGGGGCTGGCCCAAGCTCATTCCGGTAATATTCGAATTCAGACCCTCACTCCAGCTCCAGGGCTCCCTCTTCCCACGGCACCAGGCTACCTCGGACACCCCAAATGCGAGGAAGGGTTTGGGCGCCCAACTAACATTCCCGGCCCCTCTCTGCCGCGGGCCTACAACGCTCGGCCTCACGTATACCGACCACGCCGGTGAGAGGCCCCTGGTGCTAGGAGCAGCCGTCACGTGAGTACTTGGCCTCGTCGGGTCCCCGAAAGCGAGGGCAGAGGGACCAGGCGCGCCCCGGGGCGGGCCCGGCCGGGCTGCGCGATCCGCGGGACCCACCGTGAACTCCTGGAAACCCGCGAGCGAGAATGCGCCCTCCTCGTCCAGCAGGAGCCCGGAGAGGTCCATTCCGCCGCCACCCGCCACCTCCACCTGGGGGAGAGGGAGATAGGAGAAAAGTGGCCCCGGATACCCTCCTCTGTGCCCCGTCAGACAGCTACAGCGACAGCTGGGCGGTGCCGGCTCTCGCGCAGCTTCCGCGACCCAACGCTTCCGGTTCCGTCCGACGCGGGCGGGGCCTCAGTCTGGTCTCCTCCAATCCCCGGCCTTCCTGCTAGGGGGTGGGGCGGAACCGAGGGAGACGTGCTCCCCAGGCTTCTGCCTTCTGGTGTGAAAGAAGGACGCGGGGGGGCGTGAAGTCAGCCAGCGCGTGGCTACCCTGCCCTGGAAGGGCTACGCGTCCCCAAGAGTTTGGGGGCTCTTTCTGTGTCCCAGGAGAGAAACAGGGGCTGCTTTCCCCTTCACCTACGTCTCTTAGAATCCCTGGCTAGCTACCGCCCACTCTCAATTCAAACGTCCCTGGGGGGTGGGCCTTCCTTCCTCGGGTCCCTCCGCTAAGACCACCTGCCACCTGCTTTACGTAGCAGTTACCTATTGATGTACACGCTTTCGCCATTAGAATGTGAGCTCTTCGAGGGCAGGGACTGTTTTCGTCATTTTTTTTATCCCAGCTAGTGCTTAGCACGTTGCTTGACACATAGTATGTACTTAATAAATGCTTCATAAATTAGTCGTACGCACTTAATGCTTGCTGGCAGATAAAGGCTAACTGTGGCAAGAAAAGTTTGGGCGTAAGCACAAAACAAAACAGGCGTGCTAGTGTTTGGGGAGCTTAGGATGCGTTTAGTGAAACTGTTTATGAGTGTCGGCAACATTGTCACAAGGTGTTCAGGTTGGCGTCTGACACTCGGTAATTGGACAACACACCTCAGGGTAGAGACCAGGGCGTAGTCTACATCCGCCCGCCCGAGGCACCTAACTGGGTCACTCCCTGTTGTTTGTTTTTCGCCCTGGGGGAGGAAAAAGAGGGCGGGCCCTTAATACGTAGTTGACGGGGCGGAGCTGACCCTGCAAGGTGCAAGCCCCTCTTGGACCAGGCCCTTTCCCTGGCGCACCCCAACGGCCCTCAGGAGCCCGGGGCCCCAGGGAAATGGGCATCACGGGAGTTCTACGGAAGTACCTCCCCAGAGCCCGTGGCCGCTGGTCCCTGACACCCTAGCCTAGCTCACCTGGGAGGTAACCCGCAGTCCTGGCAGTGTTGAAGCGCCCCTCTCCCCAATCCCGATACCGCCCCCCAGAAAAGCAAGGCCGGAAACATCTCCTGTAGCCGGGGACTCCCAGGGGCCGACCTAGAGCGTTGTCCGAGTCAGACCCCTAATGTCCAGATGATCTACTCCTGGCCTCTTCAGGATTTACATCCGGGAGGCGGGGCTCCGGCCGCGCACGCGCCTGGCGTCCTGCTCCGCCCCCGGGGCGGTTGGTCCCCGGTCACGTGCAGAGCTAGGGCTTGGCGGCCGCCCCCGTCACGTGGTGCCCTCGGCCCCCAGGGCGGTCTCTGCGGCGTGCGCCCCCTTCCGCCTGACGCGCCCCCGGCGGCGGCCGCGCAGCTCGGGCTCGCTCCGGGCGGCAGCTGCTGCTGGGCCATGGCGAGCGGCGGCGGCGGCGGGGGCCTGGGCCCGGGCTCGGGATCGGGCCTGGGGCTGGGCGTGGGACTGGGTCTCAGCCTGGCTATGGGCGAGGCGACGGCCGAGGCGGAGGAGAAGGCGGCGGCCGAGGCGGTGGGGCGGCTGGCCACGGCGCTGTGGCTGCGGCTCCGGGGCTGGGAGGCGGTGCTGGCGGCGGCGCAACGGCTGCTGGTGTGGGAGAGGCCGCTGCACAGCCTCGTCTCGGCCGCCGCGATCAACGGCCTCTTCTGGTAACGGCCACGGCCGCCGCCACCGCCGCCGCCGGGAGCGGCGGGCCGGGAAGGGGCGGGGCCGGGGCGGGGCCCGAGGCACGGCGGGGGCGGGGCCGGGGCCCCCCTACAGTCCGGTATGGTGCGGGAGGGGCGGAGGGGAGAGCCCCCCGGGGTCAGCCGCTCGACCCCCCCCCCCCACGCCTCGAGGTGAGCTGCCGTCTCTTCTCCCAGGCTGCTGTCTTCCTCATCCCTTCGGCCCTTCTTCCTGCTCAGCATCTCCCTTTTGGGTTACTTGCTGCTAGATCTCTGGCAGCCCCACTTTTTGGCTGACTTTTCAGGTGAGCTCTAGGTGAGGGGTGGGATGTTCATGCGCCCAGATTTCTGAAAACCCGCCTTCCCTTCCCCCGAGTAGCTTTAGCCCTGACCTAGCTTGCCACCCCAAATCATGAAGTGGGGGGGCACATATTCCATCTACCTGCACAGTGACCTCTGCCCACCCCCCCTCTGTTCATAGCTTCATCCCCAGAAGAGACTCACTCTGATAGGTAAGTACAAGTTACCACTTAACTCACTTCTGCATCCAGCTGGGAAAAACCCCAAACTTCTTTTTAGGGTACACAGCCTGGGGAGGGGCAGGTGCTTGTTGAAGATGTAGTATGTGTTGGAGCTTCCTGGCCTAGGCACTTGCCTCATCTAAGTCAGTGTATTGGTATTTAGCCACAAAGATTTCTTGGTCTCGGGTGCAAGTGGAAATTTTTTGAGACTCCTTGGAGCAGAGAATTGGATACTTTAGGTTTTATGCCATGATACCAGGGCATTCGAGTAAGGGAAATGGAGTTATGTGTTATTTTAGACAGAATAATTCACTGGAATCCTTAGAACAGGGGGTATTTGATCTTTTTTACTAAATGGAAACCTTTGGCAATCTAGTGAAACCTACGGGCCTCTTTTTAGAATGAAGTTTTTAAACATACAAGATAAATACAACAGATTATAATGGAAACTTTAAATACAGTAATAAATTATCTTTTTAAAAAGTTCACAGACCCTAGGTTAAGGACATCTGTTTCAGAGAGGCTTAGAGAAGGCTGGAGTGCCTAGGCAGCTGATGCCTGAGACTTCCAGGCATCATGTCATGTCTCCCCAGTGAGGGTGCAGGGCCAGGCGCCCGGCCTCACCTGCTGAGTGTGCCTGAATTGTGCCGATACCTGGCTGAGAGCTGGCTCACCTTCCAGATTCATCTTCAGGAGCTGCTGCAGTACAAGAGACAGAACCCAGCCCAGGTATACCTCCCAGCCCACATGTCCATTTCTTGTTCTGCACCAGGAGGAAGGAATGGGGTCTACCTACTGTCTTGAGAGTCCTGCATAGAATTTTGACTGCCCTTTGAAACCATATTTATCATTGCCAGATCTTTATGGGAGCCTTGAATACCCTAGATAACAAGCCTCTCTGGGTATCTTCTCTAGAGATTGATCACTAGTATCCTGGGCTACTAATAGTTAAGGCAAGATAGTTGTAACTATAAAGGTGACCCTGTTTTACAGATGCCAATGTCAAACTTCTTTGTGTTCATAATATCCAATGTGTTGGTTTCACTGATACATAAGTTATAGAATAAGGTGGAGGAACTATGTCCCTCTTAGCCAGCTGAGAGCCTATGATAGCCCTCCCCCTCTTCTCAGACCCATGCTCTTCTCTGCAGTTCTGCGCTCGAGTCTGCTCTGGTTGTGCAGTGCTGGCCATGCTGGGACACTATGTTCCAGGGATTATGATTTCCTACATTGTCTGTGAGTAGAGTGTAGCCCTCTACCCTTCCCTGAGCTCCCATTTTTTGGTCTTCTTTCCTTGTGCCTAGCCAGGGAAGACATTGCTTCCTTTGCAGCTAGGTGACCCAGTAGATAGGACCATGGCCTTTGGGAGTCAGGAGGACCTGAGTTCAAATCTGGCTTCAAACACTGTGTGACCCTGGGCACGTCACCTTCCACGTGCCTCAATTTCCTCAACTGTAAAATAGGGATAATAACAGCACCTACCTCTGAGGATTGTTGTGAGGATCAAATGAGGTGTTTGTAGAGCATTGAGTACGGTGCCTGGCACGTAGCAGGGGCCATATAAATACTTCCCTTCCTTCTCCCTTTTTTCCCAACTGTTTATTTGTGTAGGTCTCTGAAGAATCTATAACATAAGTCTCAGTGGAGGAAAGCTGGGAAGGGGAACAGGATCAATCTGTCAGGAGACCATCTGACTGAGGGGCCTCGGGGTGAGGGAAGTGGGGCGGGGAGAACTGAGTAGGCTTTCTGACTCACAGTGCTGAGTATCCTGCTGTGGCCCCTGGTGGTTTATCATGAACTGATCCAGAGGATGTACACCCGGCTGGAGCCCCTGCTCATGCAGCTGGACTACAGCATGAAAGCTGAGGCCGAGGCCCTCCATCACAAACACGACAAGAAGAGTAAGGCCCAGAGATTGGGAAGATCCCGGGAGGCCTGGGTTATGGGCATCCCTCTGTCTGTGGTCCACGGTTGCTCCTACCGCTTTCCCCAGTTTGTCAACCTCTCACCTCCTCTACCTTCTCCCTCAGAGCGGCAGACGAGGAGCATGCCCCCCGGAGGTGATGAGCCAATGGCCGAGACAGAGAGCGAGAGTGAGGCAGAGCTCGCCGGCTTCTCCCCAGTGGTGAGATCTTGGTAGAAGAATGGAAGGCTGAGGGGAATCTTTCTGAGGGAGTTGTGCATTCAGGTAGAATTTTTGTGCCCTGGGGGCTGTGTTTTGCAAATATTGTCATATTGGGGGTTGAAGACAGAGATGGAAAGGGCTTCCTGATAAAACTGAATGGCTTCTCCTGTATGGCTTACATTCAAATGAGCTAATGTAGTCAAGACTATTTTTAAAGCTTAAAGGACTACATAAATGTCAGTTACTCTCATTCATTCCTCTGGTACAGGTAGACATGAAGAAAACAGCACTTGCCTTGGCTATTACAGACTCAGAACTGTCAGATGAAGAAGCCTCTATTTTGGAGAGCGGGGGCTTCTCTGTATCCCGGGCCACTACTCCACAACTGACAGATGTCTCTGAGGGTATGGGGAGATCTTTATCTCTGCCCAGCGTAGGCCCCTCCCCATGCCATGCATCCTGTGCTCTATCCCAGGATCTTGGCTGAGTTCTCAGATTCCATCCTTGATTGCCCACACAAGATCTCTCTAAGGCCCCCAGAGCCCTGGAACACCTAGTCTCTAAGCCCTAGCCAGGCCCTCCCTGAGTTCAGGTTGGAGAACTGGCCACAGTTTTC